TATTTATTTATTATTGGACACATTAAAGACAAATTATTAAATGTGCATAAAGAATATCTTCTGTTGGCTATAAAGGCCTATAGTAGATCAAGTTTATATATTATTTAATAGCTGGGTGTGTTCGGATGGGGCTGGGGGAAATGCACTTAGCTTCCAAAGTGAAGCCAATGCAGCAGTGCCCTAAATAGGCATTCTTTTCTAACAGCCACCAGGGGGTGACACCTGTAGTTGCATAAAAGGCTTCAGATCCTACAGAAATCTATGAGATAACAGCCCTCTCCCTTTACCTCTGTAAAAACTGACTTGTGTTGCATGTTTTGGGGCATAATGAAAAAAACCTTAAGTCCATTTTGTAAAGTCTGGTGTCAGAGAGGAGGATTATATTATGTGACTGACAAGTCATTAGCCAGTGAGCGTGTAAAACAATTAAAACTGACCTGTTTTAATTGTTTTAAAACAGGTCAGTTTTAAATTGTTTTATGGCCTAAAGTCATGCATGAAGAGTGTAGCCACTTTGAGCATCTGTAGCTGCTGGCTTTCTGCTAGATCTCACCTTAGACAATTTATCTAAATTTCAAATGCAGGACCACACCTCGTACACTCCCCTTCTGCTTCTCTGTCTATATATGACGCCCCTGCACTACAAGCTACGAGTTTGTTCTCATTTCTGTTCCTCACCCTCCCTCTCTTTTTCAATTTATTCACTTCTCATAAGTGCATGTGTATCTGCCCATCCCAAGAGCCGACGCCAGTCCCCTCCAAGGCCTTTTCTAAACCGCAAAACAGGTAGCTAGCATTAGCTGATGACACAGAGCTCAAAACTAATATCCAAATATGATCATCAAAAAACCTAGATGGTGCATGCCAAAATGTCAAACTTATGACCAGATGATGTCATAGTGGACATGTGCATCTTTTATATACAGTTTATGGTCAGCACTCAAATAAACCCACACTATCACAGCAGAGTATTTCCTGATAATTAAGATTTCGCTGCCAAATAATAATAATAAAAAGTAGAAACAAATGTATCTAAGAAGGAAAATACCTACAGCTCACGGTAGGGACATGGTAGCTAAAAGAACTCATTTAAACCTACAAGCATGGTGATGGACAAAATGCTACCAGGACAGCATAGATATAAATCTTAACACAGCTTCAAAGTTATTCCTAGCAAACATCTATGAATCATTTCTTATTTAGGCTTCGAGCCTTAGCCTGTGTTATTGTCATGGTCTAACCATTAAAACAAACCGTCAGCACCCCGCCTCATATCTGAGGTCAGTCTATTGTGTGTTTCTGCTGCAGATAGAAGGCAAAGTGACACTTTCCTGTTGGTGAGCCGTACACAGGCCTCCCGTGTGCTGTGTGTGTCCTCTGCAAACACTGATTGAACCGCGGGCGTTGCCATGGCTACACGCAGACCCAATGAGAAGCTCGCGGTAGACTGTTGCTGAATGAAAATAACAGAGGCCATTTTGCGAACGAAGCCAAGACATCATTCACTAATAACGAAAAACGGAAACGGAGGCAGAGCCGGTCCATTTCTGGACTGACGCCGCTTCTCTTCTCCAGAGTCGCTAGGGTCGGGACTGCGGCGCGGCTCGCGCATGTAGTCGAGAAAGAAAGGCAGGCGGTAACTTAATTGTGCCGCCTTCTCCTTGGAGTGTCTTAAGGAGAGGGGACAGGTTATTTTCACCGCATTGCTGTCCGAGGCCCAGTGACCCCCCGGGAGAGAGGGAGTAGCCTTCAGTCAAGGTTGGCACAACATCCATGCGCGTTGAAAACAGGTGTACGGTTTCATCACACAGTAGCTCCCGAAGCCGCCGTAGCTTCACGGTGTGTGTCACTTCTGCGCCTGTCCGAGGACTTCACTCGTTTTATATGGAAAAGACATGTTATTAGACATGTTTCGGGAATTTGTCCGGTGAGGTGGCAGCTGTGTTAAGGTAAGTACACACTACCAGTTTGTTGTTTAAAAAAAACACAGGGGGGTTATATATTTATCTCTCCCTCCGCGTCGCTTTTAGCAGCTGCACCAGCAGCAGCACTAGATCTGACCCTCGGCTTAATTTCGTGGTGTTAGAGCTGGTAAACAAGGCTATTTGGGTTGTTTTAACTGCCTTACAAGCAGTTATGACCCTGCAGTTGTAATTGACGAAACTCGAGAAAATGAATTAGCATATCCGGGATGCGGTCGGGTCGACTCGGTTTCCATTTAAAGTGCATTCCGGTGGACTGGTGTCTCCAGTGCATTAGAGGAAGATGCGGTTGGGACTGGGAGGATGATAAATGGCGAAACCACAAGCTTTTAAGCTTTACAAAGAATATTTCTAAAACCGTAAGGACCGACATTATGAGAGCAGTGTGGGAAGAACATGCAGCCTCCTGATAGTTGTAAACATGAACTGAAATATCCACGTTTAACCTAGATCTTAAACGCTTAGGATAATCTCTATTGTTAGCTTGCACTTGTGCATTGGTCAATACAGTTTCCCGTATGTGTAAGAAAAAAGGATATAAGCGTATAGCAGATATTTATTTTCTAACTGGACGAAGAACATATAACTTATTGAGTTTGGTTTTATGATGATAATAGTAACACTGTTACCCTGCAATTCTTTCATTTCATCTTGTGTGTAATATGTAGAGCAATGCTTCTGCGCAGGGCCACCCTACAGTCATCACTGAGTTGCAGTTTTTCCTTATTCCTGCTTCCTGAGTTCACATTCACCTGCCATTAAAGCTTTATCAGTCAGTCTCTATGCAGATAGGAAAACTCATCTGCTGCCTTGCTGTCTGACTTCCTCAAAGCCATTGCTGTCCCAGTTCAAAACAAGCAAACAAAAATAAAACGGATAACACAGCTTTTCTGTCCAGTCTTCTAACTTGGTTAAATGGATGATGTAATGAGGGGCAACGGATAGTACCCATAAGATGCATATGAATGCTGGATGAGCAGGGAAAATGGGGATGTGTCCAGGATGCACAGACTGTAACACTATCACTCCGGGAACCACATACCACTCCCAGTGAGGCCTACCTTTCTACCTGCCTTGTGAGTGTCTTTTGCTCTGTGTGTGTGTGTGTGTGTGTGTGTGTGTGCGCGCGCGCGCGCGCCTTAGGCCATACTGGCCAGTGTTTCTGATGTTGTCTTTCTTGTATTTCTGTGACTACACACTTCTGTCTCTGATGAGGAAGCAGCGGGCAGGATGCAGTGTGACGAGCAACAGTTGGCTACTGACTGTTTCACAGAGGACCAATAACAGGGACTTAAATATACACTCAAAATGAGCAATCATAGCATTTTTGATTTGATTAATGGCCAGAGAGCCCAAAACTAAGTGTCTCTGTTGCTAACTCAGTTGCACCTGCTAGTTTAGAGTTACTGGGAGAGAAGCTGTGTGGTGCATGTGTGTCCGAGAGGGAGAGAGAAAGAAAGAGGATCAAGGCAGGTCGTCAGGGAATAGGCGAATGTGATACATTTTCTTCTGAAAGTACAGAATGTAGCAGAGGGGGTTACTATCACAGTCGCCTTTATTTCACTCTATCATTCTCTCACACTCATTTTTAATTTTCCCATGTCTATTCTTTGTTTTGGTGCCCTCTCTTTTCTCAATGTATCCTCTGCTCTGCTTCCTCCTTTATCTCCCCCTCACTGTGCCCTTCTCCAGAGTCTGATGTCATGGCTCAAGTGGTGTTTGAGAAGTGGTGTGCGCCTGCTCCCAGAGCCCATTAACAATGTCCTGTAGCGTGCATCATAAAGTGTCATGCTGATGACTTTTTTTTTTTTTTGCTGCTGAGCCACTTTTATCTAAAGAAATCCTCTTTTTTGCACAGTAATCAGTAATTCTTTGTTACTGAACCAGAGATACTTTATTCTGACAAATAAGCAACACATTGTAGCACAAAAAAACGACTTGATACGGTCCTGCATTGGAATCATTTTTACTTAGTTATCTGGCTGTGCAACAGAGACGGCCCCAAAAAGCTGCTGTCGAGGCCAAATGCTGATTGTGGTGTGCAATGTAGTTGAGTTACCACAAAGACAAAGAAAAGCAAAAAACAACAGAGATGAAAGAAGCATGGATAGGAAACACAAACAATGGCTGTGATGGACAGTTCTGATTCTTTATTAGTCCTACTCCATTGTAGAGACGTTCTAGTAGATCATGACTTGACAGTGGCCAAACCAAAATGACTAACATGAGTGCAAACAAGAGCCCACATTACCGGTTGTTCCACATATTTTTTACACTACCCCCTGGAGACAGTACACAGCGACAGCACACAGATGCAGGTCAGCCAGCCTCTGTTGCATCTGCGGATGACCATACAGGGACTTTAATCCCACCCAATATGGTTTGCTTAGTGGCAAACTTGTGCATATGTATGTGATGTGTAATAATCAAATGTGTAAAAATGGCAATATCTGATCTTATAAAATGGACTTGAACACATTTTTCTGGCTTTGTGAAAAACCTCTGCATCTATACACCGCTAGGGATGTTCAAATTATACTGTATCTGGAAAATTAAAAGTCTAAAAACTTACACTGCAAGTTGACAGGTATATCTTCACCTGTATTTCCAGCCAAGATCTTTCCCTAATTTAATCCTTGCACGTCAATCCTATTTCAGTCATGAGGCCTTTTAATCTATTTCAGTGGTTGTAAGAACAACCACAGGTTTCTAAATATAAAGGCTAAACACAGAAAGTAATACACAGCCAGCTTTGTTAAACAGCAGAAACACTAAGCCTCTGAGTACACTGAGTGGGCCTGCTATACCTCTGTTACACTTCATGTTATTCAAGTCCTGCCAGGTGCTTTCAAATTATGGTAAATCTAGAAAAGTGGACCAAAAGCCCATGCAACACCACAGTTACTTGCTGCGGTCACATCCAGCTTGTTATACATCAGATTAAGCCCCTTGTATCCCTATATCATTAGGGGCTGAGGCCTATCCCCACTGACAAAGGGCAAAAAGCAGGGCACACCCTCAGCAAGTCACTATACCGTCATAGACAGGGCTACCACATGAGGCAAACATGCACACTCATACATATGACAATTTTAGAATTATCTACCAACCTAGTATTTGTGTCTTTGAATTGTGAGAGGAAGCTGGAGCAACCTGAACAAAACCCCAAACGGGGACAGGGAGAATGTGCAAACTCATCACACAAATGCCCCCATCAGACCAGCTGGTTCAAATCTAGAATCGTCTTTGAGAGGGCCAACCAGTACAGTACTTGGCCACTCAAAAATGGGCAGATCTGAATGTATGCGTTATACTGAAGGAGCTCACAACACCAGTTATGTAATACATGTAAAAAAAAAGTTTGTAGAAAAACAAATATTATTAAACTATTATATCTCTATTAAAGAGCACGCTGCTTTGTGAATATGCTTTTCCTTTTTTGATCTTCAGATTTAAGTGTTTTCCAGTAAGTGACACTTACTACATGCGCAGCTCTTCTGCTTTTTATATCCTACCACTTACTTAACTGGGAATGGCAGGGCCTTGGAGAAGCTGATAATGAATTAGGTGTTGAAACTGTACGGGTGAGAGCATGTCGACACGGCTACTGTAGTCCAGAGTGGCTCATAGGTCAAAGTGTCGGTGCGTTTGAGTGTGAGTTTGTGTCAGTCACTATAAAAATAGTTTGCTTTGGTACTTTAATAAGATCATTACTAAGCTGCTGCTCTGTCCATTTACTTTAAATTGTCTTATAAATCATTCTTCCACATGCAGCACTAAGTAGGACACACCTAGAAGAGCCAAAATATGATCTCAAGTAAGGAATGTGGTCAAAAATCTGTTTGCTTTGATGTGTGATGCAGATCCTGCTGCTTGTGTTTGTCATGCCAGGTTACAAGATTAAGTCTATAGTTGATAGCACTTATGATAGAACTTTATTGGTCCCCTGGTACTGCCCTGATTTTGGCCTCAAGGTTGCATCATTAGCACCTGTCAGTTGTCAGCTTTTCACCATACCTCAGTGATCCTTCCCACATGATGAGATGTTTCTGGGGGGGCAACTGCTGTTTGGTTATGTTTGTTAACACTGATCGCTGCTGTGGGGCTTTCAGGAACCCTAAAGTCTGAAGCCTAGGTGTTTGGGAGACATAGTTGGAGGAGCGTTACTCGTCACTGGATCCATTCGTGCCCATGTAGACAGGATTTTTACATTACCACTTCATCATCTGCATGATGACAGCAGGCACAGAGAGTGTTGATCAAGACTTAGCTTTGTCCATGTTTGATTTAAAAGTTGGCAACAGGTTTGGCAGAGCCTATGAAGCTTTTTTTTTTTCTAATTTATGGCCTTCTACTAAAATAGTTTCTGCTCAGCTACTGTAGAGTAAGATAAATACATTTAAAATGACAGCAAACTAAAGAGATCCGCCCACTGTTTGGTGGAAGGTTTGTAGTATGAATCTCATCTGTTTTTGTCATATCTCAGGATTTGGTTTATGGAAGCTAATTAATTTCTTTTGTAGTGGCACCTCGGCTCTGCCCGAGCCTTTACCACACTTTAATTTGTAAGTTGCGGATTCTTGCGCCTCTTCTGTTTATTGTTGAAAACTTGTTTTAAGTGGATGCGTTGGATGTTGTCCAAATAGCATGTTACACAGTAGCTGCCTGGCTGGTTTTAGGTATCCAGGCTCTAAATATGACATGCTAATAGCAGTAGTTACATCATCATTCTAGGAATAGCAGGGAGTCTGGGGTCTAGAGGTGCTTCTGGCTGACCTCTCTCCTGTGTATATTCGGCCTCTGTGTGCATGTGTGTGGTCATTTTCCAAATATACAGTCCCATATGGATTACAGCGCGGGAAAGATTATTAATGGTACAGGTGAGTGGTCATATAATTTGTATATTTAGAGCCTGGTATGACGTTGACAGTAAAAGATGTATTTACATGGATTTAAAAAGGGAAAAGAAAAAGTGCAATTGCATGTCATGTCTATGTGGCTGGATTTTCACATCTCCGAGGGAGCATTCTTGACACAAAGTCAAGCTGACCACAACAAAAAAGGAAAGAAAGAAAATCTCATGTGAGAAGGATTTAAGACTCCTGTCAGTTTCTGTGTGGATGCTGCCACTTTACATAGCCACAAACTGACAACTCTGGCCACTGTGACATAAAACCTGTTAGGAGGAGATGAGTACATTGAGGTTCTCTTACACCCTTCTCACACCTCAGGCGAGCCTAACATCTGAAAGGTGTATCTACCCGATGTAGCATACAGTAGAATCACTCTGCGACTCCTTTGGAATGTATGAATTGTGTGAACGTGTGCTTAGAAGTAGTTTGTCTTCATGGGCATGCGTGCGCTTATACTGCGTGGCATGCATGCAAACATGTGTGTGGCAAAATAGAGATACTCAGGCCTGTCACTTATCCCCCACCCATCCACACCGGGGGGTTACTTTCCAGTCTCAAAGACAAGCATGCCAGAGTCTGAAAATAACCGTATCTGATCACTGCTTCACCCAAACAGGCAACTCTCTTTCCCTGTCACTCCCACTCTTCGACTCCGTCTCTTAACTTTCTCCTCGGTCTGTTGTCTCTGTGCTTCCCAGGCATTGAACGGGGATCTTGGGACTAAAGCTTGAGCGGGAGGAGATACTTGTCCTGAGCAGAGGAGAGAAAGTGGAAGGCACAGGGGGACTTTAAGTCACAACGCCATACGTGACTCTTCTTAGCACTTCTCCAGTCTTTTGGGTTTATGACGGTAAGAGTTACATTTACTTTACTTGATGGACCATTGCACCTGCACTCTGTGGCCTGCAGTGGGGCAGGATTGCATTTCGCTGGCGTTCACAGGAAAACCATTTTTATTAAAACAAATTTAAATCCGAGTGTGGATATTTTGGATTTAACCTGTCCTAAGCTGTGCTATTCAGTATATCTTATATTGCTTTCTTCAAAGACCCTCTTCAAGGCACGCAGATATCGCAACGCTGTCTACTCGGTTGTCATGTGTCTATATTTACTTGTTATGAACACAGATGCTTTAAAAAGATTTAAATTAAAAGAGATCCGAATAGCTTTTACAGCCCAAACACCCAAAGGGAATAGTATTTATCTGTGCTGCCAAAACCAAAAATTATAGCCCAAGAGTAGAATTTTTGTCTTTTGTGACAGTGGACAGAGGAAATGGTGTCAAATAAAAACAGTGGGTTTGACCGCGGTCACCTAAGAAATAGGATCACAAAAAAAGCTTAGATTACAGTTGTGAGCGTTAACTTCCTGAGCATGACTTTATCGGATTTTTGTGTATTTGTTTGTTTGTAAATATATTTAAAAGAACTCCGTAACCTCTTAACTTTTGCCCCAGAATCCTTTCCCTCTTCGGGCCCTTTTACATACTTCAGTCTCTTGTTACAGCCTTTTTTCATGGTTTCTTATTTCCTATTCAACAAAAGCCATGCACCAATTCCTCCATTAGGCCAATCTCAGAGGTGTTGTGGAATGTCACCTTGACCCCTTGGGTACACAGTAAGGGGTGGTTCCCAGCCTCGGTTTGTATCACGGGCGGCTGGATTTGTTTTCTTCCGGATCTCACATACACAGTCACTTTGTGCGTTCCCTGCAAACGTCACAGGGCAACCTCTTCTTCTTCTTTTTTTTTTCTTCATTCATATGCGTCATTCCAGCCTCATTAAAACTGATTGCAGAGGTCAGCGATACTTTTGTAAAGGTTTTTTGGTTAGATAAATCTTTTTGTTGCTTTTATAAAGTCCACGCTTCATTGTAATGAATAGTTTTCTTCTTCAACTGATGGCATTTGCTTGGTTAGATGTGTGTCATGTGGAGTGGCAGTTCTATGAAGCTGGTGTTATTAGAAAAATTAAATGAATCTGGCATGAAATCAGGGATTTTTTTTCCTGCAGTATCTGTGTTTAAAATTAAGGATAGAATATTTTGTGGTAGTTATGATTATGAGCTTACCCGGGCTGTTGTTTCAGCCCTTCTTTTCCGCATTCCTGATTACTGGTTGGTTGTTCTAAAGCTGAAATTTTTTTATTTTACTGAATCAAAGCGAATACAAGGCTCTTATTTGAGGCTCTCATGCAAATATCTAGAATCCTGGAAATAGGAAAAACATCTTTTTCATTCTGTTTGACATTTAAAACTCTGATGTCTGTGTAGAAATACTTAATACATAAACATATAAATGGATACTTGCTGTGTGCTGTCCCTTCTTACAGTTGGGACCAGTAAGCCTCAAAGTAAGCAGTGTCCTTCATGAAGAAGGAAAATGTTTATTTACACATTGTTGAAGCCCTGAAACAATCAGGAACTTTGAGTTTGTGAATATTTTCATGGATAAACTGTCAGTTTTAAGTAGGAATGCCGAATGTTGCATTGATAATAATTTTAAAGCTGCACAAGTTTTTCTAATGTTCTTGACCAGCTTCGAGGTTAAAAGGTCACGGCTAATGGCATTAAATATAGCGCCTCTTCTAATCAAGTTCCTCTTATCTTCATGCTCGACACTTAACACTGGTACCTGGGGAATCCAGACTATGCATGGGGAATTTAATCTTGGGCACAACAGATAGCCCTGCCGCTTCAACATACCTCCTGTCTCAAATCAAAAAATATATTTTTGAACTGTTTGTCTTAACAAAGTCTTAAGATATGTAAACACTTTGTTTTACATATTGTAATTTGGAATTTCTTTTTGTTGTCATCTCTCTGACGTGTTTGCATATTTTCAGGATACATTTCTTTACCTCGTCACACTTTGTCGCCCTCGAGATGGGCGTGTTTACTCGTAGCATGTGGAAAAACTAACTTCTGCATCCTCTGCAAGCACAAAGGAAAATATTGCTTTTATGAAGTCCACACCAAGTTGTAATGAATAGTTTTCATCGGCTGATGGTATTTGTAGTTCAAACATCATATTTTAAACTCAAAATGTTTCAGATTCCAAGCTGAACAACAGTTGTTCTTCCTTCACTCAGAAAGCTGGAGCTTGACTATTACATTACGTCAAAATGACAAGTCAGGAAACGCTCAAGCTTCATCTTTGAAATTGCTTTGACATTTAGCCTAATGTCACACTGTCCTCTCATTTGCTCACTCTATTGTCTTCTCGTAGCTCTGCCTATATTAGCTTGTTGTGTGGGCTGCAGTCTGAATAATAGTTTTCAAGCTTTTGTTAGATATCTTTGTGTGTGTTGTGCTTATTCTTAAGGAGCCGGCATGAAACTGTGGCAGCTCTAAATGTATTGTTGAGCGGGGCTGCTCAGATGTGTCCTCGGGCAGCTTTTGCACAGAGCTTACATAATGCAACTAATATAATTTTCCATTTTCAGTAGGATGTCATTTATTTTGCACTTCCTTCACTAAACACAACACAATAGGAAGGTTTTCTCTTCATCTCTTGATTTTTATTAGATTTCTATGCACCCTTTTTTTTTTTTTTTTTTTTAAATTGCTCTCTCCTTACACACAGAGCACATCATAAATTCTGTATAGGAAGACTGAGATAACAAACCCACCAAGTGTCACATCCAATTCATTCTTTTTCTCCCATATCCCCGACTCAAAGTACCAGGGATTGTGTTACATAATTGCATTAGTGCTCTCGGGCCAATGGCTGTGCTCGTTAGCGTCGTTGTGATGCAATCTGGAGAACACACTCTCTGTTGTTTGCCGTATGGGCAGTGAGTGGGCACGCAGGGTCAGTGTGTTGACCTCCCCTGTCCATTCTTACAGCCAGAGGGGAGGGGGGTCCGCTAATGAGTGGCAAGGTTGAGCAAACAAGGCTGATAACAGAGACTTTGTTGCAAGTGGTTGTTGTTCAACTACTGGCAGTAATGTGCTGGTAGAACAGTAACATGGCACCGACAAAACATTCCTGCATCTAACAACAAATACTTTAGTGCTTTTGTGAGAGGCTTAAACTGTGTTCTGCTTGAGGATTGAAGCTGTTCGTTTTGTACTTTAGAAAGGTTTCGTTTTTTTAAAGGAATCATTAAAGACCATTTATTCAGATTTAATGGTATGGACGGGTATTTAACATACTTCTAACAGGCTGGAGTGCGGGGCCTAAACTGTTTCATGGTTCGAGTAATCCGCTTTTCTAAAGTGAATTGCAGGTCAGAAGTTTCTTAAGGTATGTAGGAAAGGCAGCATGCTGAAACAATAGCACCTCAATCATATGAATGGGAAATGACCGGCATATTACCAGGAATCATTGTGATTTGGCCATTAAAGGATTTTTAACACCGCTGCTCAGCAGAGATTTTGACACATGCCTCTGTGTTAAAGTGCTTAAAATCACCGTGACATGGATTACTCATCGCTTTCTGAATGTAATATTTAAATCTGACTTTGTTGCCACCATTATGGGAGGTTATATTTTTCATTACTTTGTTAGGACATTTGTGTGGCTAAATGATGCCAAGATACTTGGAGTTTTAAATTAAACATAGACAAAAACTTTTTTTTTTTATGTTCTTCATTATTTGAAAAAGGAAAAGGTTACAAGCTCTTAACGCTTCCTCTGCAGCTTTATTAAAAGGCTTATAAACTATTTCAATGTTTACTTTTATTAACATTTGTTGGGCTAATGTGGCTACAGTGTCCATTTAAAGCACAGTGGGCAATTCTTTTTACTGTTTTGATTCTTTCGTTTCTTTTACCACAATCCCACACTCCCCACATTTTTACCACAAAAATGCAACACTGAAGAAAAAAAAGCAAAAAATTTGGCTGAGTTTCAGTAATTAAGGAATGAAGCAATGCTAAATCCTGCCTTTTTTGGAGGGGTTGTTGTCCCCGTCAGTTTGGTTTCAGTCTCGTCATGTCTTGACTGAGATTTATGTTGAATCTCCCGGGACCTTCTGTTTCCCTCTTTAAAAAAGGAGTTTGTTTTCTCTGATTCCTCCTAGATAGGTTTTCCAGATTTCTCTGTTTGCTGTTGTTGTATCTGCGTAAAATGCACTGGCCTGGCTGTTACTGTGTAGCATCCCTACAGGTAATACGCAGAGCACACATTCCAACTCGTGTCCATTAATATTTCTGCTGCAGTATTTTGTTTGTTTTTTGCTTCTTCTTTTTCTCACTGAAGCTTGTAACAAGCATTTTGAACATTGATAAAGCTGTTTTAACATTTTGCAATATGCTGAGTATTGCAATAACATAAACTGTGATTCATCACCTTTTTTCAACTGCAAATTATGTCCAGAAAGTTATACTTTGTCAGTATCTTATTGGATAAGAAAGCTATTGACAAACTTGTCTCACGTCTATTATTTTTTTGCATTAAAATCAGATCAGAGTGGTTGTGAGTGTACAACGCCCTCAAGTTCTGGGTAGTCACCACGGGTTATGTGGCAGAATGTGGGGAAAATTCAATACAATCACCAGGCTGCCTCTGACTTTTGGTGACGTATGGAGGCCGCTGTCATATTTTACTTGTGTGACTGCGCCGTTAACTTGTTCTAAATTAAAAGGGCAACTTTGTCAAGCTAAGTGTGTCCAGTGTTTGTTTTTGTTTTTGTTTTTTTGTTTGTTTGTTTGTTTTTTCTTTTCTTTTCTTTTTTTCAGGTGAACTGATTTAATATAAGTTTGCTCATCTTGGGATGAGTTATCATTTATAGTTTTTGATATTTGGTGCCCCTGTATTGATACAATATTGCCATGCAAAATATTTCAATGCTCTGTTGTATCTAACATTTTCCCCACCCTTAGAGTGCAGTCGGGCACATCAGCTGG